TTGTAATATTGGATTTGTCATATTTTATATTTTTAAGATTGATGGAATTGTCGTTTTGTAATATTGAATTCGTAATGTTGAATTTTTAATTGTTTAGTTTCTAAAAGATTATGTTTTAAACTTTTAAAGTTATTAAAAACAAGCTTTTTAGCCTAACACAAAGTAGTCATTTAGCAAAAAAAAACGAATTTTAAGCGGGGGAACCGGGGGAACGGGGGCGGGACCGGGAGCGGGGGCAACAATTGATTTCGGGGGCGGGAGCGGGGGCAGCTAATCCCGCTCCCGTTTGGTCCCGTTGACATCCCTAATCCCAAGTTGCATCTGGGGGACTCCAGGAGGTGTCAGAAAACCTGCCACGTCGTGGCACTGCTTGCCACTTCGTGGTCTCTGACACAGCTTTGGGGTTCACGCCCCGAACTTCATAAATTCATAACTTTCGCATATGAACTTCGTTTTCGACGTTCTTTATATCGACGCGAAGGTGAGATTATGCTCTACAACTCTCGTTTAGACTCCATAGGCTAATTTTGACTTTATTTTTAATATATTATAAATATATTACTTATATATTATCTTTAGTAGGCCGGGATAGGAAAACTCCGTTCGAAATTTATAACTCCTTCATCTGAACTCCGTTTTCGTCCGTCTTTCCGTCGTTGCACTACTATCGATGAGATATTCAATTCTCATTTAGATCACTAAGGATAGATATCTATCTACCTTAAATTCACTATTTACGTCGCGCTGGATCGTGTCGGTTCTGTCGCGAAACTTCGACAGGTCATTACTTCTTCGTTATAACTCGGATTTCGGCGTTCATTATATGCACGGAAACCTTGTGACATATACTACAACTCGGTTAAGATTAATCCTTCTAAATAATCATTTTGATGCTTATCGTCTCTAAATTGACTAGCCCGGATCTACGGGCGTTACATAAGCTCACCCTTACATTCATCCTAACTAAAAATCAAAGAGCCTTTCAAGTTGAACCCCAAGAAAAACGAATGCTGATGGTGGCTCAACAGTTTTTAGTCAAGGATAACCAACATAATATATATGAATATTTGAACCAAAAACAAAAGAGATTCTTCAATTTGCATAGGATACAAAACAAATTGTTCAAAAACATCATATCCATCAAAGAATAGTTTGTTTCCAACATTCCACACATGGAAAAACCGAGAGTTCTCATCTCCATTTAAAAATAAAAAAATAGGAAATGTCACATTCATGGACTCATGATAAATGGTAATTAGACCACCGATGTATAGGCGATAAAAAAGGAGGCATGGGAATTTTTGCTAAAAAGTTTCGTGAAGAATGTCATGAGAGACCACTATTCCTTAACGAAAATCTTCTTAAACTTTCGGATACAGATAGATGCTTTATTGAAAAACCATTTGATGTTAAGGAGATAAAGGAGGCAATTTGGAGTTGCGGTAATGATAAAGCCCCCGGGTTTGACAGTTTTACCTTTAAATTTATTAAACAATATTGGGAGATCATGAAAGGAGATATTATGCAATTTGTCAAACATTTTGAAAAGTAAGGTTTTTTCTCTATAGGAAAGTAATTCTTCCTTCATATCCTTGTTACCAAAGGTTAAAGATCCTCTCACGCTTCATGAATTTCGTCCCACAAGTTTAATTGGGTGTGTCTACAAAATTATTGCTAAAACTCTTGCCGGAAGAATTAAGAGAGTTATCGGATCGGTGATTGGGGAAGTTCAAATTGCTTTCATCGAGGGGCGAAGCATTCTTGACGGGCCAATGATTGCTAATGAATTACATGCGTGGGCTAAAAAATCTAAACGAAAAACATTTCGTTTCAAAGTCGATTTCGACAAAGCCTTTGATTCTATTAATTGGAATTATTTGGAATCGATCATGAAACAAATGGGTTTTGGTGATAAGTGGTTATTTTGGATAAAAGGTTGCCTCTTGTCTTCTCGAGCTTCTGTGCTACTCAACGGCTCCGTCACAAAAGAGTTTCCAATTACCAAAGGGGTTCAACAAGGGGATCCTTTATCTCATTTCCTATTTACAATCGTTATGGAAGGTTTAAATGTCGCCATGCGCTCTGCTTGCGATTATTCGCTATTTCATTGGGGCTAAAATGCCTAACGAAGGACCTATAACTTCTCACTTGTTTTACGCTGATGACGCCATGTTTATTGGAGATTGGACAAGCTCTAATTTCACAAATTTGACAAGAATCTTGAGTTGCTTTCATGCGTATTCGGGGCTCAAAGTTAATTTTCACAAATCTAAAGTTTTTGGCATTGGTGTTTCGGATATAATGAAATTGCTAGTTGCGCTAGAATTCTCGGTTGTGAGGCGGATTCTTTTCCTTTTAAATATCTTGGAGTTCCTGTCGGAGCCAACATGTCCCAAAAAAGGAATTGGCAGCCAATCATTGATCGTGTTCGAAATAAGCTTTCTTTATGGAAAGCTAAAACTTTATCCTTTGGCGGTCGCCTAATTTTGGTTAAAGCTGTGCTGGGTAGTCTCCCCCTTTTTAATTTTTCCATTTTAAAGCCCCGATTTCCATTATCAAATAATCTCGAGAAATTAAGACGGAGGTTCTTGTGGGGAGGAAGTGAAGAAAAACAAAAAATCAACTAGGTCGCTTGGAATGTGGTTCTTGGGCCGAACGGTGGGCTTGGGGTCAGATCCTTGGCTGTAACGCCCGTGTTTCTAGGCTTGCCATTTTTAGCAATGTAATAGTCTAGGTTAACCTTGTAACTCAACTTGAAATAATAAGAATGTATTATTAGTGAATTATTTGAATTATGTGATTTATGTGTGTATTTTCTTAATTTTATAATTTAATAAATTAAGAATAAAATAAGCGTCAAAATTTAAGTGTGAGATAACCCCGACATCTTTGCATAAAGTTGTAGTGGTCGAAACAAGGATTCCGGAGATATAAGGAATGCCAAAATCCGAGTTATAACGAAGAAGTTATGACCTGTCGAAGTTTCGAGACAGAACCGGTACGACGCTGAGTGACGTAAAATATGAATTTAAGATAGAGCGATATTTAGCCTTAGCGATCTAAACGAAAGTCGTAGATTTCGTTAAACCGAGAGCATGCATAAAAGGAACGCCCAAATCTGACTTCGTATGAGGAAGTTATGATTTTCTGAAGTTTCGACGTGGCAGTATGCAGCCCGAATACTCGATTTGAGATCGAGCGGTTTTTAGCTGAAACAATCTAAATGAGAATCGAAGATCCTGCTGTTAGTAGCGAAACAATGAAAAGTTAGGCGAGAACGGACGTCAGACGAAGAAATTATGAATTTATAACGAAGTTTTTCTGTCCCGGCCTTCTAAAAATAAATAATAAAAATAAAATTCAAAATTAGCCGACGGAGTCTAAATGAAAGTTGTAGAGTATGGTCTGACCTTCGCGTGGATATAAAGAACGTCGAAAACGGAGCTCGTATGCGAAAGTTACGCAATTTAGAAGTTTGACAAGTCAATTACGCCCTGCGTAATTTGTGTACGCCCCGCGTACTCAGTCGGATGCAACTTGTCTGACCAATACTCGAGTGCCACCAGTCGACGCACGCAGTGACGTTAAAGTACGCCCCACGTAACCCGAGTACGCCCCGCGTACTGAGTACGCCCCGTAATTTGAGTACGCCCCGCGTAATCCCAGACCCAGCAGCCTATAAATAGAACTCGAATTCAGCCATTTTCTCTTGTTCAAACTCTTCCCTCTCTCTAAGTTTTGCCTCTATTTGCGTGTCGTTTATACCCCAAAGCCCCGGTAATATTCCCGAGCCCCGAAGCAAGATCCGAAGCCCCGAGGATCCCGAAGAGCGTTATTCCCGAGCCGAAACGCTGCCCGCGAGGAGCCCGGTTTTGTGAAGATCTTCCAGATCTACGGAGAAACACCTCTTCTGCAAGCCGTAGTGCTGCCCGATCATCTTTTGATCAAGTGAGTGTGTAGTTATTTTCATTCCAACGCAATATTATGAAGTATTTCATATAAAATACGTGTTAGGTGTATATATTTGGTTGTTATACGTGTGAGTGTATATTTACTCTCTTCTATCTTATAGATATGATGTATTCTCTATGAAATACATGTTATGTGTGTATGCCTCATCTGTTATGTGGAATATGTGTTGATTAAAACATGTTATACAGGTTTTTAAACTATGTATAAAAACGTATATTTTTATCTACTAATATGTTGGGTAGAACATGGGTAGATAATTGGTGTGTAATAAACAGATGAGAGGCCTCGGTGTTATTGGTGTTATTCTAGTCATTCAGCAGAGTATGGATGACGACCACGGACTATTCTAGACTGTCCTGTGGAACACTAGCAGGCTCATTACCTGTAGGTGTTGTGAACGACGTGTTCACCGGTGTACTCTATCCCCACATGGTTGCCTTTAGGACACTTAATTGTTGAGGAAGCCCCTCTGCAGTAATGTCCATCCCGATGAAAAATCCTGAAATAGGTTCCTTATAATAGACGTTATTTTTAGGAACGTAAGGTGAGGATAACGGGAATGGGTAATCGGGTTTATTGTTGATTGTTGAAATTAAATATAATTATTGTGGGTTGAAAACCCTATATGCTCACCAGGCTCCCAAGCCTGACCCACTCAGTTGATTTATTTTACAGGAAGTGGCGCAAGAGCTTAAGATGGGCGAACATCAAGTTGTTTTGTTTACAAGTCTGTATATGTATATATTTGTTGAATGACTTGTAATGCTATTGTTTATGCTTTATGATCTGTATCGGAACATGACATCCCGACTTTTGATTGTGAAATGAAATCATATTTCTTTATGAAATGTTTTGATAAATATCTATTTTATCATGTTTTGTTTTTGGGAACAAATTCCGCATCTCTTTTAAAATTAAAAGGATTTACTCTGAAAATTATTTCAAAAAGCATAAATGAAATCGGTCTTTTCTGGCCGAGATTTTGGGGATGTCACATTGGCCTCGCTTAACTGGGCCCTCTTGACAAAATGGTTATGGAGGTTTAATGCGGAAAAGGACACTCTTTGGAGGCGAGTGATTGGTAGTATTCATAGATGTGAAAGGAAACCTATTCACTCTTGGGCTAAAAAAATATTTCCTGGGCACTTAGAGTAGTATTGTCAATGTATTCTCGACGTTTGGCAATAATGGTATTGATTTTTCAAATATTTTTGAATTTCAGGTGAGGGATAGTAAGAAATTTCTATTTTGGCTAGATGATTGGCTAAAGAACAGAACTTTGGTAGTGAAATTCCCTTCTTTATTTGCGTTAGATAAGAAGAAAACTTGTTTTTTAAGTGGTAGATGGGCTGATGGCACTTTCTCATGGGCTTGGAAGAGGAAACCCAACAATTCTCAAGAGTTGCTGGAACTGAACTTTATTGTGGATATCACAAGGTTTGTTGTGAGCTCCAATGGGCTTGATACATGGAGATCGAGGTTAGCTGTCGATGGTTCTTTTCGTGTGTGTGATATTAGGGCTCTCATTGATAGTAAGTTGACCGTCCCGATAAATAACCCCACGGTTTGGTTTCCCTTAGCTCCTATAAAGTGCATTAGTTATGTTTGGAGAGCTTGTATGGGGCGTATTCCTACGACAATGGCTCTTTCCAAGAGGTGTATTAACCTTTCTTCTATTTCCTGTAAAATGTGTTTTATTGGGGTGGATGTTGCGGATCATATTCTCTTGGATTGCTCGGTTGCTTTTGAATCCATGGGCTGGATTTTCAATTGGTGTGACATTCCTATATAGTGGCTCACTTTGACTTCAGATTTTGTTAATTTTGCTGCTTCATGGGGGAACTGACAAAAAAATAGGAGAATATTTATTGCTATCTGCTATGGTTTTCTATGGTGTATGTGGAAAGCAAAGAACGATATTTGGTTTAAGAGAATTAAAGTGAACCCTACAAAGTTGGCAGATAATGTGATTTCTATGGTGTTTAGTTGGTTGAAATATAAGAGTGATTTTGAAAATTATAGATGAGAATGTTAGTTTTGTTCCCCGTTTGACATTTTGTAAGTTGTTTTGTTTTCTCTTTTGTGTCCGGTCTTTTTGTTTTAGGTCGTGGTTTTAATAATATCCATCGGTTCCAAAAAAAAACCTTCCACACGTTAGTAAGATAACTATAGAAAATGTTATGATCGAGAGAAACTATAGAAAATGTTATGATCGTTGAAGAGAGAAGATTCATATATCAAACAGAACCTAAGATTTTACTGATGATGTTTTTATTTACCGAGGGTATATTCTTAATTGGTAGACTTTTCTTTTTTTAGTTTGCCTATATTGTTAGAGTGTTATGAATGTATATTAGGCGATTTGGTAATGTTTTTACCGCCAGCAAGCAGAATGGATGTTTTCTACAATGTTTTCTTTAAGGTAATCTTCATCGGTAGATACCAATCTCTATCTCCTTTTTAGGGTTCAAATACATTCATTTTTCCCTCTCTTTCTACACTCTTTTTGCGAAAAACACCCCCTTCACTCCTCAAATCTTCATAGGCAAAACATTAAAGCCTTTTTCAAGTATACATCTATCGATACAAAATTCTTATATCTTTTATCCTTTTTCAAATGTCTATCTATCGAACAAAACAGATTGTCTTCTTATATCTTCTATCCTTTTTCGAGTATCTATCTATCAAACGAAGCAGACATAGATCAAGATCTGCATATCCACATTGATGCAAGAAACATGCTAATATTACTTTCTGATATCTCTATTCACGAATCTTCTTCTCGCGTTCTTGCATCTCTTTAATGATGGATTTCACCTCACAGTAATCTCTTGGTCTTGTAAATGTCTTACACATTTTGTCTGTATGCAATTTCATTCAACATCGTTTTATAGGCCATGAACTACAATCACGTTGTGCATCAAATGTAATCCCCATTTGTAAATTTTTACTAATTTTATTTCTTTAGCAAAACAAATTTATCAAAAAACAATCATGTTATTGCTCTTAACCTTTTGTAGATACGCTTAGAAACTACAGAAATTAACACTAGGAAAATAGAATTTTTGTCAGGTAATAACAGAAATTCTTCAAAAACTTGATAAAAACTCTGATTGTGCAAAAGAGGCCTAGGTTGTTGTCTTGGATAAGGTTAACACAGATAATAGAGTGAGGAAGACGACTACAGGTAAAATCAAATGATCATGTTAAAGGTTTAAATGATTTAGAATATAAAGGCACAACTCTCTTCGGCCTTAGAACCTTGTTCTTAAGGAATGTGCCAGGAGATAGGTAACGTCAAGGCAATTAGTAAATACATTGAGCTGTTTAATCCTGGCGTTTAAAAAAAGGTAATTTATGCTCCGGAAACTTGAATTTCTCTCATTTAACTGTGAGAGAGTTCACCATTATGAAGCAACATTACAGAGATCACATGCTTTTATTTTTGATACCTTTCAAACTCACAATCAACATATTAACATTTTAACGAAATCTAGAGATTTTGTTTAAAGCAAGAAGTGAAAAGAATTTGGTGAATAAAAAGAGAACATATATTGAAATTAAAGTCAGAAATCTCGTGTGGAAGTGCCGCTCATTGCATTCCGATTGATCGATAATGCTGCGTTTGCACAAAGATATCATCATTCTATCAAACGAAAAATAAGAATCGAATCAACAGATTCGGTTTCGTGATAAGTGCTCTTCATAAAATCAACGGCTTGAAATATAATTTCCGAGCTAATGTATTCAGAAGAAACGGAATATAGATCTGATTATGCCCGAAATCAAATCCTTTCTAACAGTCGAATACAAACAACGGTGATAGAGAAAACTAAGTGTCGATTCTAAGAAGTGTTAATAAACATGTATTGAAACAGAGGGCGGGAGGGAGGGAGGTATAGAGAGAGCTTGAGGTTCAAAGATGGTTGTGCGGCGACGGTTGCTCTGGATACTCTTTCAGAAACCCTAACTCCGCGTTTATATAGTTGATGCATTGTGTAGACGAAGCCCTACTTGATTATAGGATTGGAATGGGTGTCATAAATGGCCCCTTCACTATTGTTAATCGGCATTTTTCTTCGAATATCAAATTTGTTCCTTGTATTTTTAGCAAATGTCAAGGGGTTGTTTATAAAACTTAATCAGACTAACACTTAGAGGGTGTTTGTTTTTTCTCTGCAGGTCTGCGTGACCTCTTCTGTCTGCGAGGCGCAGACCACGCGCAGACATAATGGTTTGCAGTCCGTTTGTTTTTCTGAAGTGCGCAGACATAAAAACGTCTGCGCGAGGTCTTCACCACACAGATATGAGATAGCCACTTCTGAAGTCTGCAATGCCTTTGCCCTAAAAAAAACGCTTTTTTTTTTTTTTTGGGATTCCGCCTCCATTCGTCGTCCAACCTCCCTCCCAGCCTCACCCAAAAAAAAACCTCGACGACTCCATCTTGCAGCGAACGCCGAACATCAACGTCGATTGCAGCCCTCCTCTCCGATCAAAACCGCCGATCGCAGACCTCCTCTTCGATCCAGCGTCCGCCGATTGCAGCGTCGATTGCAGCAGCGAGCGAACAGCAAGGCTAACGCCTGAAATAGATCGCAATCAGGTCTGTCACCTCCTCTCTCTCTCTGTCAATTTCAGTTTCAATTCAACTTGTTTGATTCTTCAATTTCTTGTTTGATTCACGTCCTTGTTCAATTTCTTGTTTGAATCACATCCTTGTTTCACAGAAAATCTTGGAGGTGTATAATCTATAATGTATTCTTGCTAAAATTGAAAGCCAAATTCCCAGCAAATTGAAAATCTTACCTGTAAACAAATTGGATTTGTAAAAAAATTGGATTTATATTTTTCTTTGATTGGAAGCCAAAATACATAACTGTGAAGCAAAAGATAACATATTATCTTGTCGATTGTGATTGTTTATGTGTATATGATTTTTGATTGTGTATATATATATATATATATATATATATATATATATGATAGTGTATATGTATATGATTGTTGATTGTGATTGTTTATGTGTATATTGAGTTTTGATTGTGTGTGTGTGTGTGTGTATATATATATATATATATATATATATATGATTATTGATTGTGTATATGTATATGATTGTGTATATGTATATGATAGTTGATTGTGATTGTTTATGTGTATATGAGTTTTGATTGTGTATATATATATATGATTATTGATTGTGTATATGTATATGATAGTGTATATGTATATGATTGTTGATTGTGTATATGTATATGATAGAAAGCATCAAAAAGAGTCATAAGTTTTGTTTATTTGATAGAAGTAAATTGGAAAACTCACTAGCTTTTTGGATGTGTGTTGGTACTAATGATTTTGATTTATAAAGTTTTTTAGAAAACTCTGAATTAAAACACTCTAATTGAGGTTATTTATGATTGAATAAAAAGTTTCACATTATTATGATTGAAAATAAAACAAAATTACAAACTTTTCGTGAAAATAAAAAGTTTACTAAAACAAAATTTATTGAAATAATGTTGTGAAAATAAAACAAAATTACACATTATTATCATTGAAAATAAAATAAAATTACAAACTTACCCTTTCAATTCCCTAAATAGGTAGCCCTTTTCGATTTGTGGATGATATAATGCTGTGAAATAATATTTGTCTATGTTATATTGGTTATTAGAAATGGGAGAAAAACAACAATGGACCAATGAGCATTTAAAATGCTTATTGGATACTTGTATTGAAGAAGTAGAGAGTGTTGGTAGAAAAGGATTGAGTTTGCAGAAAGATTCATGGATAAGGCTTGGAAGAGTTCTTAAGGAGAAATTTGGGGTTGAGTTGACTCAAAAACAAATGAAAAACGCATATGACAATCTGAAAGCCAAATACACTGGATGGGTATATTTAAAAAACAAAACCGGTAATATATACAATTCTCAAACAAACACTTTTAATTTAACAGCCGAGGAGTGGGACGATTTTAAGAAGGTACATACACATTAATATACAATAATATATATATATATATATATATATATATATATATATATATAACATTTACGTTTGAAGTTGCCAAATATTCTTATACTATTTCTTGTTACATTTGGGTTTAGGGGCATCCGAAAGCTGCTTCTTTGAGAACAATTCCACTGCCTTTTCCAGATCTTTGTGCACGTCTTTTTGATGGAAATAGTGCCACTGGTAATTTTAGGAGTTACTCAACCCAATCATCATCAGTAGCTGGTGCATCCTCCTGTCGTGTTCCACCACTTCAGATCACCGCCACCCCTTTTGATGCAATGGATGATGATGGTGTTGACACTTCTCATCATGAGCCATCACCTTCTGCTGCTTCACCTTCTGCTGCTTCACCTTCTGCTGCTTCACCATATACTGCTACACCATCCAGTAACCCCAACAAAAGGGCTAAACCCTCAACTCCTGTAGCTCCTAGTGCCTCACCGTCTGCTTCTTCACCTGATGGAACTTCTATTACTACTGATGATTTAGCATTTGAAATGAAGAAAGCACTACAAAGTTTGACTAAAGGGTATACAATTCCTCAGTGTTTAGAGAAGTTAGAGGTCCTTCAGTTAGGCCCTACAGATCCTTTACACTTTGTCGCATATCATATTTTTGGAGGAACCATGAACATGAGAGAGATGTGGATGCATTTGCCCGATGTTCCCGAGATATTACGAGGGTGGCTTGAGATGACGGGTACCGGTTTAGGAGTTTTGAAGGATGGACAGATTGTTCGATGATTTTCTAGTGTTGAAACTATTTGTTATGTCTTTTTGCTTTGTCGGAACTACTTTGTTAAATTTTGTTGGCGTTGTTGGAACTATTTTGTTAGGTCTTTTTGCCCTTGTTGGAACTATTTTTTGTTATTTTGCTACTTGGACTATGGTTTATGCAATGTTATTTTGGTACTTGAAATATGATTAATGGAATGTTTATTTGATACTTGAAAGATGGTTTATGTAATGTTTTTTTGGTACTTGAAATATGATTAATGGAATGTTTATTTGATACTTGAAAGATGGTTTATGTAATGTTTTTTTGGTACTTGAAATATGATTAATGGAATGTTTATTTGATACTTGAAATATGGTTTATGTAAAGTTTTTTAAAGTTCTACTTTGTTGATTTTAGGTTCATATGGATCACGATCAAAAGTTACTTCTCGTAATTCTTATGTACCTATACATCCGTTATTTTTGGAAGAAGGGTGTGAAACGATTGCGGGATAATGATTCGGAAATGACGGGACATGAATACACATTGGAGTTGTTACACCGTAATCGTTTACAATGTGTTGAAGTATTACGCATGTCCCGTGAATCTTTCGTACGACTATGTGCTCATTTTAGAGCAAATTACTCATTAAAGGACAGCAAACATGTATCAGTTGAGGAAAAGATGGCTATGTTTTTGATGATGATCGGACATAATCAACGTTACGTGATTATCAAGCGGAGATTTCAACACTCGAAGCAAACAATTCATAAATTTTTTTATGAAGTGTTGGAAAAAATGATGCTTTTCGCACAAGATGTTATAGTACCAACATCTTTTAATCCGAATCCAAACATTCCAGGACATAATAGGAGGCTACGAAGGGTTTTCAAAGGAGCAGTTGGTGCACTTGATGGCACTTTGATACATGTTGTTGTCCCTGCTAAGAAACAAGACTTATATAGAAGTAGGGGAAAGGGAGATTGCTACCAAAACGTATTGGCAATTTGTGACTTCAATATGATTTTTACATTTGTTGTGACCGGGTGGGAAGGGGTAGCGCATGACTCGAGAATATTATCAGAAGCAGTAGCCGATCCACAAGCATCATTCCCGTTTCCACCACCAGGTAAATTTTTGTTTTTTTTAAATATATTTATTTTAATTTAAAAATTGATTAGTGTTTTGCATTTTTTTCAGACAAATATTATCTTTGTGATGCCGCGTATGCACACACTCGAGGATTTATGGCCCCTTATCGTAATGTGAGGTATTGGCTTGGAGATTTTCGTAAAAGACGTGCATTGACCAATAAAGAAAAACTTAACCATGGACATGCGAAACTTCGGAATGTCATTGAGCGTGCTTTTGGTGTGTTGAAAGCACGCTTCCCTATATTGAAGAGGATGGCACCATTCCCATTTGTGACACAAAGAAACATTGCCATGGCATGCTTCGCGCTTCATAATTATATAAGGAAAGAAGGATTGAGTGATGAGTATTTCGCACGATACGATGAACCCAATGTCCCGTTTCGAAATAACAATGTGGTCATTGATGATGATGAAGACGAGATTCCAACACATGGTACTGCAGCAGACCGTGAATATATGACTCAGTTACGTGATGAAATTGCTGATCAGTTGATGCATAATATAGATTGAATTGTTTTAAATGAAATTATTATTGTAAAACATTTTTTTTATTCTATGACTAATTTAGTTGCATGAATTTTATTTTCAATGTTATAAGACTATTATTATTAAAATTTTGGTGTTGAAAAATCATTTTAAGTTTGTAAAATAATTTTATTTAAAATTCAGTTTATTTCAGCAGCCTGCAGACGTTAAAAAACAAACAGTCTTCTTATTGCAGACTGCAGACGTTTGGTCCACCTCTTCTGCTGCAGAGGCTTGCAGATGTGGTCCGCAGACTGCAGACATTTTGGCTTCAGAAAAACAAACAGCACCTTACTCCATAAGTCATCGCGGGTCTGTAACGACCAAGCCTAATTAGGTGTGCGAGACCAAGCCTAACTAGATTATATAAAACTAAGTAGGTGTGTGAGACCCGTACAATAGTTGATTTAAAAAATAATTAAACTAAAGTATAAAAAGAAATATTTTTTGATTACAATTTTAAAATAAGAAAGAAAAAAATGTATTTATTACAATTTAATATAATATATATGATATTTAATACTTTACAAATATATAAGTATATATGATTTTAATTAAAAATTAAAATAAATCAAAAATTAACAAGTGGATAATATTTATTTCAAAATTACCACAAAATGATAAGTGTCCAAACTGATGAAAGATTGATAACTGGTAAAAAAACATTTATTTATTAAGGAAGATTGGAATTTCATTGAAAAAGTGCTGACATATGTGCTTGGATTTCAGCTTCACATTCAATCCATCACCAACCCACTAAACATTAGAAATGATTATTACTCCATATTATTTATACTTTTATTTTTTTAATTTTAAAACATTAGATTAAATAAAAATATATTATTATAACCTTAAGTAATAATTTTACTAATTACAAAATCAAATAAACATATTATTAATTTTTAAAATTAAATAAACATAATTATATATAATTAAAGATTTAACTTAATTCAAATAAAAATAAAAGGGTATAATAGGATTAAAAAAATAGAATCTTAAGGACCAAATTTGTAACTTTAATTAAAACATATATACAATATCCACTGTTTATCTTCTTCACCGTGTTCTTCGCCTAATACCCTCTAGGTACATCCTTTTTTTTCCTACTTTGATGGATTATAAAGAAAAGCCAACGAAATTAAGGGGCAAAAAAGAAGCAACTAATAGGAAGCTCCATCTTCATCCGTTTTTCGCCTCACGTCACAAGCAAACCACTCACCCTTGGGCGGTGTTTACACGTGGGAGAGGGTGCCACCTCAGTCCAAGACGCGTGAAAATGTCCTCATACCGGATAGCCTAATTAGATATCACCTTGTTAAATACGGAAACACGAAAATAAAATATAGGGTAAATTACACCATTCGTCCCTCGTGCACAAGCCAGAAAGCGTGTTTAGTCCTTATTTTCAAAAATTAACTCGGACCGTCCCTTATTATTTTAAAATTTGCACGCTTCGTCCCTCATTAATTTAAATTTGCACGTTGCATCCCTTTCCAACTATAAAATGACTATATTGCCCTTATAATTTTATTATTACATAAATCATAAATTATTTTATATTAAAAAAAGTTAAATACCCTGACCCAGCCTCCCCGTTTCCTTTCCCCCTTTCCTTCTACATTCCTTTTACCTCATTTGTCGTTTCCAGGTTACTAAAATCCACCATCAGTTCATCGGATTCATCTTTCTGTCGAGGAACATCACCTCAACAATTTCATCCCTTTCGACGAGCATCAAGACACCCCAAATGAAGAACCGTCGATCGTTATCTCTTTCTTCTCCGGTCTCAATCAAGAACCGTTAAGACTCTTTCCTTCTTCGTTGTTCGAATCGGAGGCAGAGGCAACCAGTATCTCCAGTGATATGGTTATAGAAGGAAGAGGGGCTGAAGACCCTTTTAAATTTGTTCAAATCGGCACCAAGTGCAGATCTTTCAGATACGATACAATCTGAACGTAGTTTCTTTCTTTCTTTTTTGTTTGTTTTTTCAATTCCTAGGCTTTAAACTCATAAAGATGCAGGGGATGGTTATCTATTTTTTTTCTCTCATCATTGATTTCAATTTTGGAATTTATGTTGTGGATCTCAGCACCAATTTTGATATGTATGCGTTTAGTGGAGCTCTAGGGCTAGAACTCATGTGAAGCTACCAGACCACCATATTAACGAAGCTCTAGGTTCAAATCTGATAGGCTTTCAAATAAAATGTAAGATAGATTAATGGATTGTGGTCTAGAGGTGATTGTTGGTGTTGGAATATGTATACGGTGGTATTGTGGGGATAGGTAAGAGGTGTTGGTGACAGAATAAGAGACGAAAACAGAGGGTGAAAAGAAGGAGAGTATGTGAGGTGGTAGGACCTACTGAGATGGTGGGGTGATAGGTGGTGATGCGGAGGTGCTGGCGGTGATAAGCGTTGCTACTGGAGGTGCTGGCAGTAGGTGGTGATGTTGAAGGTGCCAGCTGTTATATGTGGTGGTTTATGGAAAATCTTAGAGAAGGGGAAATTAAAATAGATGGGTAAGGATATTTTTTTATTTTTATTTTTAATTTAAAACTGATAAATAAACAAATAAAATGAAAAAAATAAATTATTAAGGGTAAAAAAGTCATTTCATGTCAATAGGGACTAAGCGTGTAAGGAAAAACGAATAGAGGGACGGTCGGAGTTAATTTTTGAAAATAGGGACTAAACACGCTTTCTGGCATGTGCACGAGGGACGAATGGTGTAATTTACCCTAAAATATAAATGTATATAGCCATTACATAATAATTATAAGAAAATCAATGTTATTGGTATTATTGAAACGTATAGAAAATATATTGAAATCGGTAATATATATATATATATATATATATATATATATATATATATATATATATATATATATATATATATATATATATATATATAGGTTCAGGTTCATTTGAGACTATTCTAATTTTGTGAGACCGTGAGACCATATCTAAAAATAATTTTAAAATGCAAAATAAATGGAAAAATCCAAAAATTCTTTTTTTAAATATTATTTTCGGAACTTGAATTAACTAAAAAAATATAAAAAATATATAAAAAAAATAAAAATAAATAAATAAATTCCGTTTTTTTTTTTAAAATACGTGAAATATTCTAAATAGAATATTACACTGACATATTCTAAAAAATAATTTTAAAATGCAAAATAAATGGAAAAATCTAAAAATTCTTTTTTTAAATATTATTTTCGGAACTTGAATTAACTAAAAAAATTTAAAAAAATAAAAAAAAATTCTATTTTTTTAAAAAAATACGTGAAATATTCTAAATAGAATATTACACTGTACATATTTTAAAAATAATTTTAAA